TTCTCTCCAGAAACTGAACTATTCCGGCTCATAGATTTGTTTCCTTTTGATATACATTGGTCTGAGAGTCAATGACATGTGAGTGTAAATAAAAACATTCAAGGCATTTGGGAAAAATCTGATTTATTTCTAAACTGGTCCATATTCTCCTTCTACCTCACATTTTGGTAGCTCCATTCTAGGATGTGCCACCTTTCTAAACAACAAACAAGTATGGATAGAAACGTAAAAAATAAAAATGCTGATACTGCTTCCAACCAAAGTTGACTTTTAAAAATATATGGATAATCTAAATAACAGCATGATGCAACAAAAATGGTACAAAAGAGGTATCCAGTACATAAAAGGGCATTTAACATTCTTAGCTACGTATATATAAGATCAAATTAGTGCAGAAAAAAAGTCCCTCTCTTTTCTTAATAAGGCTTTAGTGTGAAGTTTATCATATCTTACTACATCAACACATTTATCCTCAGAGTTAAACCAGAGCAGATTTAAGGACAGCATGACAACTTTCTGTTCATGCCGTTGTACCAATATTGGCTGCAATTCCACTAGAGGGCAACAGCGAGGTAGTTCTCAATGAATGGAGCTAAACCAAATATAGTCTTGTCACTTTGTTTTGCTAACAGTGAGAACGATTTTGCCGATATCGAGCTCTAATTCTGCTAACGCATGCTAATTGGTCAGTGATGGATTTACGACTGATGTCTAAAGGACGCCATTTCCTCTCTACATTTGGGGAGGACCAGGGGGAACAGGCAAATCTAAATTAGGCTAATGTAGCAGATGCTAACTGGTCGTGATTAATAACTATATACAACAGGATCTGGTAAAACTTATTGAACAATATCTACCGTTTTTGCTCCTAATGTCAAAAACAGAGAAATGGAAATGCTTCGTTTTGGGATCAGAGCTCCATTAGCTCCCATTCATTCTGGACTACCTGGTGTAGTACACAACCCGGATACATGTTCTCCCTCAATTTAAATTCTTAAATCATGCACTTAACATAAAGATGGACATGACAGATCCCCAAGAGCAAAAACCAAATCATTTTGATCGCCTCCTGTTGGCTGGCTGCAGTATAGGTGATAAACTTAATACACTCTTCCCAAAATCATTTCTGTCATTTTATGTAGTTCTTATCACACTGAGCTACATTCAAGAAAATGTATGTTTATTTGATGCTATAACGTCACTGTGAGCATGTGTATCAGTATAAGATCTCTCCACGATCACAACTGCGCAGAACCGGGCTCCAAATTACATCAAGATCTCAAGATGGCTGCATGTGTATACTGAATATTTTAGCTTCAACAGGAGAAGCATCGTCCATCTTTAAATACAGTTTATGGGTTAAACAAAGAAAAACATAGTAAAATGAAAGAAAATATCCAAATGTTTTATGTTTTTAAATCTATATTAAAGTGACACCCTCTGTTCAAAAATAAAACGAATCATCTATGAGCACATTCAGTAGAAAGAAATCACAAATCAACAGGCTACCACAGAACATGTACAACAATTCTTCAAGTGCCTCAGGTGTTATCATTCATTGATCAATACTGACGCAGAGGAGAGTGACAGATTGATTCTGTTCTTGTGCTGTGCTGTAAAGGTCCATTCCTCTGTTTTTTAACGACCTCCATGCTTCTTTATGTACAGACATAATAAATCTATTTTTTTTTTGTTTTGTTGTTTATCCTTTTTCTTTGTAATTGTACAGATTTCCATCCTCATGCCATAGCGGCATCTCTTTGGTTTCCTCACATTCCATCCCGCATTCCAAGTATGATTGAAAATTAGATTTTTTTTAGATAAAAGTCATATTTAGGCCATGAGCTGAAAATGAAGAATCTGTTCAAAGGTTTGAAAAGCAGTCCGGCCTTGAACGTAAGCAGGAAACAAAAATACTACAAGGGGTTTTTAATTCTCACTGGCAACTGTTACAAACAGCAGGTCAAGGAGGCGGATTGTGACTTCTCTTTATAACGTCGCTGAAAATCTTGTGTTACATGACGGTGAACGAAGGAGAGGGGATCCTGGGTTTGAGTTGACATAAAGGACGGGACGGGGTCTGATCTAGAGGTCGATGCTGCTCAGACCAGATTCTTCGCTACAATAAGGGTTCAGTTTTGTTTTATGAGTCATATGTGGGTTGACACAGGGTCAGCGGTTCAATGAAACATGTCATATGACGAAATGGGTCAGCACAGCGAAGGTGTTTTTATCTCCCGCCGCCCTATCGGTCCGGGGGTTAAGGGAACATGGAGGGACGGTTTGTACGACCCTGACGAATCAGTGCTGTCTTAGCGTCCGCTGCGACATCACGTCATGTCTCTGACTCACTCCCTGCCAGCGGGATGACAAACACGGTTATGTCATCACCTGAGCCCAGTCTTTCATTGGGGAGCCTCCAGCCGCGCTCTTTCAGCACTCCTCGAGACCTCATCAGCAGGTCCTGGGCCGCCAGTGTGTACCTGTGGAACACACCAACACACTCATTACACCAGTGAGGCACACTGTGATTTAAGACAAGCAACAAACACACATACAAAACACAGATTCATATTTAATCAAGGGACTATATTAAAGACAACACATCTGACATATGTTCATAATAAAAAATATTCCGTTGGTAGAATAATAACATAAACATCAAGAGGCCACAATTAGTTGCTGCTTTTTTAAAATTGTATAAGTTGATTACATGTTTCCTCATGTATAATCTATGTGAACAGTATAATATGTACATTAAGGCGGACGACACTTCTCCACTCCACTATCCAGATGGAGGGATCTATAGAATTCTCCCATAGATCTATGTTTTCCACCATCTAGTGGACAAACTGAGTACAAAAGTACACCACTGACGCTACAGTACATTTAAGAAACTGCAGTTTTCATGTCATTTCCCTGTTCACCCTGCACATGACATGTAGCAAGAAGCAAAGCCTATAATGTAAAGGATTATTTGGCAGACTGCATACCTCATGGGATCAGAGGGGTCACAGCCTGATAAGTAGGATGAAACAGCATCTGCCGCTTCCCTGTCCGTGGTTACGTCCCACAATCCATCTGTGCCCATGACCAAGACGTCGTCCGGGCCGTGTTTGTTTTCGTCCATGTTATAAACTTTCACCTAAGACAGAAAAAACATATTTTCTTCATCACGCCGCTATGATTTTTTAAAAAGGACTTCGCATTTAGAGAAGGCATTTTCTAATTGTGTGTGTATTAGTGCTGAAAGATTGCTGGCATGCAGGAGACCTAACCTCTGTTTGCAATAGTAAAGCTGCTCATGTTTACTCACATAAGCTGGGCCACTTATTTCAAGCGACTTACAACTGGTTTCATATGGTTCAGGAAGAGTTCACGAAATAAAAGCCTGATAATGTCCCTGTAATGCTGAGCTTGACAGGGATATGCAAAACAAAACAAGAGGTAGACAGTGTTTTCAACTCAAAGAACTGTGTCAGGATACTGTGCACTCCTGACCTTTTTCTCAAAAGGGTTCAGATGACAACATCTTCAACAACAATGCTGTGCTTTGTCCTGAAACCAGTGGCAGATCTAGTATTTTTCTGAATCAGGGGCCTTAAAGGGGCCACAGTTTACACAGAGGGGCCAATTCTATGACCAACATCCATGCACATTTCCTGATTAAGTAGAATAATATAATAAAAATATTTAAGTAATTCCTTGTTGAGCAAAGCCACACATCATTGAATGTATTTATTTATTTTAAAATTGTTACTAGTGTATTGTACATGTGTATTGTTAGTACTGTTAGTAAGTGAATGAATCAAAAAAGAGAGACTATTGACAGGAAAGGGGCACTTTAGGGGCCAATCAGATTTCAGCTGGGGCCAGTTCCCCCCCTGGTCCCACTCCTGGGTCTGCCCCTGCCAAAAGTCCTTACTCTTTATCTCTAAACTAAATACACAGATGACATTTCTTAACATGTCAGAGAATAAAGGGAATCACAGCTACAGTATCTGAGCACACACTTGGCCGTATCACTAAAGTGTGATGTGTTTACAAATCAGAGTTTAACTGCTTTTATTTAAAGCCCAAGACGAATGCCAAAGAATGTGCTGCCAATATTCATCAGGCTTCTTCTCATGTTTTTTTTGGCAAAGTTGAATCTTGTTTTATTCTTGGCCGCCATCCACAGCCTTCCAGCAGTGACCTTTGCACCGATCAGTCACTGAAACACCAGTTTCCACAGATAATCCTCGTGTCAGAACCTTGTGTTTACCAATCTGCCTTTTTAACGTCAGGCTGTGGAAGAAGTAAATTGTGCGTCGACCACTGTTTCAGAACTTTTCTCACATATTGATATCTTACTTGATTAAGCAACACTTTACATTACAGAGAGGAGAGAGAGGAGAGAGAGAGAGAAGTGCTGTTCACAAGTAAATTGAATTTAGAATTTTGCCTTGTTGAAATGACTTTGGTCGCAGTGATCACAGGCAAACTGACTTTTTCCACAGGTGTACTCACGCGTTTCTTTGAATTTGAAATTACACTGGAGTGGATGAATTATTTTCTTTGCATCATATCTAAGTCTGTGAGACAGAGCTTTGAGCAGTGCACAGAGTTTCATTTTGAGCAACAGGAAACAAAGTGAGGCCTGGAGCACGGCAGCTATTTGAACATATCCTACAGACTCTGAGGAGGCTGAAGAAACAAATCTCCTGTGACTCCTCACACAGCGCTGCCACCCAGATCTGCTTCTCCTCACACTCACCTCAGGAACACATGAGAGGAAGGGCTTGATGTAGATGTTGGAGTTGTACACCTTCAGTTCATGGTCTCCCAGCCCGCGAGTCACGCCGATTGTCGCCATGACACGAGCCTGCGGAGAAGTAAGTAAGTAAAGTTTACTTCATGCAGCCTCTTTCACAGAGCAAAGTCCCAAAGGGCCTCAGAAATGTACAGTTAAAAAAATCAAACAATACAAGAACCAGATAACACACACATGCATGCACACACACACATACACACAACAGGTTATTGTTCTGGGATCTTTTTACTTCCAGGAAAATCCACTTGTGGGGGATTATTAAGAGAAAACCTTGTTCCCTCTGAAAATAATGAAAATAGAAGAGTCCTCAGGTCTCATTTTCTACCCACAGAGAAAAACCAGAAAAGGAAGAATTTACGACGGAAACAGAGCACCAGTATGTTCTTTTCAAACCGTCAAGGGTTTCAACAATGGAAGCAAATGACCAATTATATTTGCAGATATCATGTTTCTTTTGCTGATAATCAAATTGTTTAATTTATATGAAAGTATTAACTTCAATTTAGGAAATGATTCATACATGCACAGTATTTTTACCTTTCTGAATTAAAACTTGATGTTAAAACCTTCTTTTAATGATTATTACCTTTTTTCCCTCCCCATATATCAGGGGGAATTTCAGATCATCTTCAACGATTGACTTGTAAGCCCTAGGACAAAACAACAAACAGATCTCAGATGAAAGTTACTGAAACACGACTGTTTGGAATAAAGCAAACACAATGAATCCATTAATAAATTAGACAAATAACAGGAAATCATTCAGGAAGTCATTTTCTAAAAAGCATATATAGAATATCTGCTCATTGCTCATCTGCTCTTTTTTAAAAATATACAATAAAACTGATTACTTGGGGATTTGAACACTAAACATTAATACATTTAAAATCTAGTAAAAGGCATAATTGTTTTTATATTCTTATACAATGTTTTCCAAACTATATATTTGTACTTGTACCCATCAGCCGACAGCCAAACTGCTCTGAACATTTACTGTACAGAACAAATTGTTCATGAAAACTGTGAAAACTTTTATTGTGAATGATGTCTGTGTTTACCAGCCGGTCATGGTGTGGTCTCTGTAGAGCATTTTCTTTCCCAGCTCACTGTGCTGGATCCTGCGAGGGAACTCAATGTGAGTGAACTCATTACCCAGAAGCTCCGGCCTCAGGAAGCCCTGCAGGGACACACACATAAATGAGGCAGGATGCATCAAACTACAGAACAAAAAGCTTCGCTCAGGCCTTCACACCTGTCACGTCTCAGCAGTTTTTCAAATGTGAAACTCTCTGAGGTTGCATGTGTTGCAGACGGACTGCAGAGCTGTGAGCTGGAGACTGAAGCCACATATCATCTCCCTGTTGTAGCAGCAAACACCATCCACCCACTCTGTGACTCAACTGCAGAACAATAGCTGCTAAAGGACGTCAGGTTCACTGGGATAGGTTTCTTACTCATCATCCTCAACTTTACTGTTATTGTTACTGTTTATAGTCATCCTCTTCTTTTTACAGCCTGATGTGCACTCACTCCTTCAACAGATTAAAATTATGGCAGCACGAATCTGGAAAGAAAGAGAATCAAGGTTTTCTTGCTTTCGTATTGAGATCACGATTCTCTACTGTTTGTTTTTTGTTTGTCCGTTATTTAGCAGGATTACATGAAAACTACTGGGTAGGATCGGGAAGGATGCTGTACGATCAGTGAAGAACTTGTTAAATGTTATTTCTGATCCAGGAATTACTTTAACATTGCGAGATCAGACGCTTTGTGAGATTTTCACAGATTTCTCAGAGAATAATTCATGGATCTTAAAGTAAAATGAATCAGGTATGTTTAGGGAATTCACATTTCTGAGTGTGTGGTATGAGGGGCAGATCCAAATTAACTTCTGGATTGAGTGACTTTGAATGTGGTTTCATAAGGGGACAGTTGGGCCTTGGTGGAGTTATACACCCTCTAAATGACATTCTACTTTTTTAAATGTATTTGTCCTTAACACAAACTTCTCTGCTAGTTTTCTGTGGGGTCAGTGGTTGAGGGAGAAAGCAAAGACAATGCAGCATTATGGGACGCTTTAAATTCATTGGGAGAAAGTAGAGAGCTTGTTTCGATGCAGCTGATGTCCCTGATTAACAAGCATCAGAATCGTCATCAATCAAAAATAGAGAGCACATTTAGGTTTGAAACGAGATCATGATTTTAATACAATTAATTAAATAAATTGATATTTGTAACGTAAAAGTTAAAGAATACCAGATACTGCAGCCGCTGCCTCTCTGACTCAGGTGTGAACTCGTTGGTCATGGGAATAACTTCATTGTTTCGTATGATTATGGCCCTGCAGAGAGAAAGAGGGAGTTGACACAGTTCTAAATGCAAACAACACTTCACATGAGCAGGCTGGTGTTGGCTGAAGAGGATAGAATGATGCTGCAGTGTGCAAAGCGAACCCCCAGGGGGCATAAGAGAAGCTTATTGGATAGGATTTCAAGTTTCATGTGGTAGAGAGCTGTGAGACTGAATTACATTCATCTTAATATATCTATTTTACAGTTTTACTCACCTGCTGTCTCCTGCGTTAGCCACATAGAGTTTCCCCATTAAATGAAGGGCAGCTAAGGCACAACACCCACCAGAGATGGCATACGATGCTTTTTCCTTCTCGATCAGGTCATCCTGAAATTAAAGCAAGAAAAAGTGAGAGACCACAAAATCACTTACAGATGTTTGAAGATACAAAAGAGCAAAACTCCTAACGTGCTTTGTTGGTAATCATCTACTCACCATCTGTTTGAAGGCCGTCTCTATGACTCCCATCACCAGACTCTCCAAACTAACGACCTTCTCCATGTGGAATCGCACCGCCGAGTCGCTGATGGCATCAGGGTCCTCTGGTTCCTGCGCAGCGCCTTTCTTCGTGTCCGCCTGGTACGGGCTTCCGTTCTTGGCCAGGCAGATGGGAGGTGCGCTGGTGGGATTCTCCAGCAGGTGGCAGATTTCTCCCAGGCGATCTCGGATGAGGCGGTGAAGAAGTTTGGAGGCCATGATGGCGGCCCCGGAACCCGCATGTCCATCAAACACACCCCAGAAGTGGAGAGGAATTCCTGTGCCATCCTACAAAGTTATACGGACATGAAATAAAGGTTTGTAATAATATATAATAGTTGAATAATAATAATCCTTCAGTGAAGGGTGTGGTTTAAAAAGCTCCCATGAGATTATATCTGTGAGCAGAAGGCACAGATTTGTGAGGGTTTACAGCTGGTGGCTTTTTAAATGCTATTCAATATGTTTCCTCACTGGAAATCTAGATTATAATATTATGAGAATTGTGGCCAGATATTAAAAATATTTTCTTTTAAAGAAATTACCAAACACTTTAGAACAGCAGTGTTTGAGTAACAACACACAACTTATCTGTCCCGACCAACAAATCTGCACATGTGATGAAAAGACAGAAAAATGTCTACGCTGCAGGGGGACACGGAGACGCAGCACCTCTGTGTTTGCAGACATGTTTACAGGCTGAGTGGGAGCAACTGATGAACATGCACAAGACATCTGCTTACCCCTCCCATGCCAGGAATGGGGGATGGGTGCAATAAGGGATGATGCAATTCATTTACACAAAGTGGAGGCTGGGATGTGTGAGCGTGTGTGCAGGGGCGGTCGCTCTAAAACAGATATTTATCGACCGGATCAACAAATATGTTTAAGAAGAAAACTACAGTTTTGGCCTGTGCATGATGGACCCAGTCATAAGGTTCAGGGAAAAGAGGGGAAACAGGTCGACCAGGTCAGGGGCCTCATTTATAAAACAGTGAAACTGAAAGTGTACGTGTGCACAAAGGCCAAAACTGGTGTACACACAAAACGGGGCCTGAAAGATGCGTACGCAACATTTACAAATGAGGCAAATCTGCAGTATTGACCATTTAGGGAGTTAAGATGTTGCAGAGCAGGTAGAGCTCAGTGGGTTTCCAGATGCTGAGTTTATGCTGCTAACAGTAAAAGTTGTGGTCCTTAAAAAACCAAAACAATAATTTAAAAAACGCTCTGTTAAGAGGAAGAGGAAATTTATAGTGAAGTGACGATTCTCTGTGGCTTTTGTTGCCACGAGCAACCCCTTTTATACAAGCGGTCACCTGCGCCACTGTTGACCTTACTTATTGCAGCCACCCAGAAATGCACTTATTGTACGAAACCCGATTATAAAAGTAACACTGAGCCTAATGTGACAATTTAAAGTGTACACAGAAAACAAGTAGTTAAATTAAAGTCATATGTCTATTCTTTGGAAAGAAGAGGTCACCTTTACTTCAAAACTGTGGGTGAAGACACAGTTTTCAGATATTTGTTTCTGATGTTTGTGGAAATATACCAGAGATGTTTGGATGATAGTATTAACAGTGTAAAATGATATGTCCCACAGGGATTGGAGGGAATTACAAGTTGAATCCATTAAAACCAGATGGGATATGAAAACCCCACTGTTTGATATCAGATAACAATGCACCTAAAAATAGTGTGAGGAGGTTGAAATACACCGCTGCTAAGTCCGCACTGCACAATCTAAAATACACTGTTCTCCTCAGGCACCCTAAGGCCTTAGTGAACACTGTTAGCTTCAAAAATATCATCACTGAATATTTATCCGAGCCGTCAGCCTCCGACCAGACATTTCATTCCTCATTCCCTCGATGTCGGTGTTGGTGTTTGAAGGTGGGCCCCTCGCTCACCCCGTTATCCTCCAGCAGAGTGGAGTTCTTGTTTTTGCCGCTCGGCTTCCTCACGAACAGCTTCTCGCACGACGCCTGGTCCTCGTTCAGCATGCTCTTCCCCGCGTTGATCACTCTGATGGAGACAAGAGGCGAGGAGGATAGGTGAGCCGGGAGTCAGATTACTGATAGTGTTTGTTCGCAGTCCTCCAACCACAAGAAAACATGATTTACAGCAGACAGGAAAATAAGAGAGGAGAACAGAGAAGCAAAAGAATGGAGGCAGGATGCAGTCGTGTCCCAGAGGGAACTTGGAGGCTGAATTAAGTGTTTTTTATTATGAGCTGATGCCTGTGGAGGATGATGCTTTCAGAGTAATGCAGTTTCATACTGCAGTGCTGCGGTGGACTCCACTGAAAGAGCAGAGGTGCAAGGAGTGATGAGGATATGAGAGAATGTGCTTCAGAGGTTTGTAAATGTATAATAATAAAACTGTAAATAAAAAGAATGTCACTCAGAGCACATGCCTCCGCTAAGGCCCAAGAACTTCCTTAAATCCAATCAAGCTGCACCAAGTTTAAAACACTCATAGGTATCAATCTCCTAAATACACCTGAGTCTTCTCATCTAGATCAACATATTATCACTTTTGAAGAAGAGAAATCTGTATTTAAATGGATTCTTTCTTGGTCCATCTTCTATCCTTCCTCCAAGTTTCATGAAAATCTGTTGTGTAGTTTTATGTATAATCCTGTTGACAATCAAAGAACTCAGTACACACCAGTTCACACAAAAACTACTGGACAGATTTCCTTGAAACTTTGTGGACGGATGTTTCAGGGAAGAAGCCATTAGATTTTGTTGTGCAGGATCAGGGGGCAGAGCCAGGGTTTGTTTTAATCACTTTCTTTAACATTGTGAAATGGGGCATATTTTGGGGATATTTCACAAACTTCCCAGATTACATATTGATATTGAATGAAAATCAGGTATATTTGGAGGACTGATACCTGAAGTGTGTGTAACTGTGTGGCTAGATTGAATTTAAGGCGACTGTTCTCGATGGGTTTGTCACTAAAATCAACCCGATTTTATAATTCCCCATTTTAATCATTGTTCCTTTGTCTTCTTTATTTTTATTTTCGTCTTATTTCTCTTTATTCCATTTTATTTAATTTCTTTCATGTTTCTACAAATGTAAAATCCTCTAATTTAAAGCATTTTCATATGTTTTGTCATTTGTCGTGTGTATTTGCATTCTAACTTGCACTTTAAGCAGTTTAAAGCTTGTCGTATAAAATGTGCTAACCCATCTCACTTTGACTTTCATAGAAGACGGAGTCATTTTTATTGACAGATAATATAAAAAATACCAATGAGAACAGCTTTAACTGCATTGTGATCCACAGCAGTAACACACTGTGTTTGAACACGCAATTCAAGCAAGTTTCAAGAACCTGCTGATTGATTTTTGTGCTGTTCTGAAGTTAATGGAAAGTAATGTCTGCCTGGACCAGTCGGAAGAAAAACAGCATAGTTTGCACTTTTTTTTTTTTTCAGTGTCAGAGAGAATTAACATTTTGTGAACATACAAACATCCAGTGGTCGAGTCCTGTAAGCTCGGGGACACATGAGACAGACTTAAACCGGCTGCAGATTGGACCTCATGCTGATGCATTACATAACATCTTCAGTTCAATTATAAGTAAATGCCCCATTAGCTGAAAAGTACAGCATAATATCTACTGCACATTCTGAGTAATTCAAGCGCTGCCATTAAGATTCTTTTCAAAACTTCTGCAGGGAAGAGATTAGTAATTTATCGTCTGGGAACATCGTGAAGGGAAAAGGAAAGAGAATGAGAAGGAGATTGTCAGTGCACGGAGCACAGGACAAACTGTACAGTCAAACAAAACAAATGAGAGAAAAACAACGTAGAAATCTCATCAAAACAAGACCTTTGACCTCTCCCCCTCCAAATAGTTCACCTGATTACAATCATTACAGAAAATTGAAGCTGGCGGCTTTGATATCACAAATATGAGCCGTAAAATGCGATCGCTGCCAAACTCTGGATTATAAAAAGCCCTTTCAGTTTCTAATCAGCTGAAAGCAGTGGACAGGCACCACAGTGTCCTGCACTGCGCTCTCTGCATTACGACTAATGACAGAGAGGAATTCAGAATTCTAGCTAAGAAAAATACCTTCAGTTAAAAATAAATAAAGATAATAAAGAAATCCTAAAGAAATAATACATATAATAACATTATAACAATAACATTGCATATTTTACTATTATAATAAATGAATTAATTGTGCTTCCAGGTGAAAACTCTTAAACTAAAACTATTCCAAAGAACATATTTAACTGAGATACACTTCATTACAAATCCCTAAACTTTTAACATCCAGTGCATCGCTGTCGTGTTTTTTATTTTCAAACGGTGCACATACAGATGTATATATTATTATTTTTTATAGTATGAACTTTTCTTATTTGTTTTCTTCTGTTTTTGTTCTTCGTCGTCAGTTTAATTTTCTGATCTAATACTTTCCCTCTGGTTGTGGAGATGTTGATGAGATTCCTTCTGACATATCTGCAGTGTAAGTTTCACCTCTGCCACAGTGAATAATCAGCAGCCAGTCTGTAATCACATGTGCTCAATGAGCTATAATTAAACACGATGCGATTCTGAAGCACCCACTCGAGTTTTCCTACAACGTGACTTTACTCTCTCACATTTCTGCGTTTCGGTCATAAGTTTCTGTCACTTGTGACCGAAAACCATGTTTGTCATTTTTGGTGCAAAAGTGTTTCTCTATTTCAAACCCTGTCACTGTAAGTTATATACGAAGGAAGTTCAAAAGCAGAAGTTGAGAGTTCCAGTGTATTCTGTTATTGCAGAAGCTCGAGCTGCAACGTCATGAAATCTGATGAAAAACTCTGTCGCTGCAAGTTTGATCCGGGAAAAACGACCAATTCTCTAAAAAATAATTGTCGCTGTAGTTTATGTACAGATTCATGCAATGCACTTCACGTCTCACATATCCTCCTGTTACAGTGAGTTCAGTCAAGAACAGATCTACGGTGATAAAATGAAACAGCTCTGAAATAACGCTTCTAGATTTGGATTTTTTAAATAATTTTGTATTATTCATTTGAATTTTTTGAAATATGAATGTAACCGTTCTGTGTTTGTGATACCTTTGGCAGAATTAAATGGTAAATAGACTTTATTTATATAGTGTTTTACTGTGACTATAGACATACAGAATAACTTATACAGTGTTTCTCTAGATCACTCAAAGCGCTTTATAGACCAAGTCACATTCACCAATTCACACACTGCTTTTATATGCAGCATTTTTTCTGACACATAAGTCAGGAATTTGGTGTTACAAACAAAAAGTGTGTACCTATTTCAGCAGCCTGGTCAGTTATGTGTGTGTACTCATCCCTCGGCTCACGATACACACACATTTCACAGTGTAACGCTCGACTGTTCGAGAGGTGTGCGACAAAGTAAATGTGAAAAAGATAAAACCTCCGGTTGCTGCTGAATGTAACCGCCTCAGTTTGGAAGCTGGCAGAGGGACAAACACTGCAGGGCTGCTACACAAAGTCTTCATCTGCTGCGGTGCGAGGAATTTGTTTTGTCATATTCCAGATTCCTTTTCAGGGAGAGGAAGTTGCTTGTCATGGTGCAAGGTATGTGCTTTAATGCTGAAATGGAAACGGATTGGTGAGACCTGACAGAAACTTTAACTGTTGTTTAGAACACGAGTCAGGTATTGTAATCAAACCCTGCTGCAACTTGTAAACTGTGCCTCGGCATTTGTTCGGGATCTGGACACAGATCAGTGTCAATGAGAGCATGTGAATTATGAGTTTGAAGAAAGTAAAATCCAGTTAGTTCATTATGTTTACTTCCTGACAAACACTGACTGAACAACCTATAAGGGGGACTTTCAAGATATAACATTGCATCCACTGTTTGTCTACATCTCTTAAAAATGCTTGTTTCTTAACTTATATCACGTTCATCCTATCCAGTAACAAGATCCCACCTGTACTGTAACATGAAAGAAATGGTTCCAAATCTCTAATTTGATTTAAAGCAACACCAGGTGGTTTTTATAACTGAAAAAACGGCAACTTTTATATAATTTTTGTTGGTACACAAACTAAGAAAAGTATGAAACTGAACAAGAGTGATTATTGGAGGCAAAAGAAGCCAAAGGACGCAGGACAGAAGTTGACCTGGGGTTGATGTTACTGGACAGAGTTAGTCAGGACTTTTGATTTGTTTACTTTGTTTTGTGCTGTTCTGCTTGACATTGTGTTTGTGTTACTGAAGATGTCGAGTTAACAATCAGAGGCCGGGTCTGATTCTTTGGCCTCTTCTCTGCCAGATTGTCAGCAGTAGCACATGTGTCCATGTGGAGCCTCAGACCACATCTTATATTTTGAGATGTCCCACCTGTAGTGGGAGCCCGAGTATAGCCGAGAGCAAGTCCTTCTTCTTCTAGATGTAATGTAAACATAAAATGTACCTATATTTTTCCAGCATTGAATAATTTTCCTAAAAAGTGATTCATGTTTTGAATGCCTCTCCATCCTGTATTATAAAAAAACGCACATGTAGTTATCACACCAATTATTATGTATGAAGTTGTAGATTGTGTGTATATATATATATATATATATATATATATATATATATATACACAGCAATAATAGTTATACATATTTATTAAAATACTTATTTTGGCTAAAAACTGGTGAAAAAAACCCATGAATAAAAAGAGGAATCTTTTAACCTTTGCTTCCTCCGTCTCTATTTCATAATTAGTGCACACTGGGCGGAGCCTGCCTCCATATCAAATGGTATTAAATGATCATTTGACAGAAGTTGCCTGACTGTAAGGGCACTCACATGCTGACACATTGTTGTACAACAGGATCAACTACACCCGTTATCAGGAACATCATACTCGTGGGTGGTGCTAAAGCTGCTGACTGGTCCACAATTCAAAATACTTTGGAAATTAGACGTCATACAAGTCGACATGTACTCTGTGTGTAGAGTCGAATAAAAAGTGTTCCATCACTGTGAGGTCAGACCAAGACAACCA